ACACATGCAACTAGCATGCCAAAATGAGTTCAAGTTCCACACACAAAAGATGTTGCAAATAAACTAAGTTACAACAACAAATCAGCTGGTGTCATTGCAGCATCTCTTCAACCACGTCAACCTGTCTTCATTCTTTTTGAACTGGCAAAAGACTTGTCGATTGTATTCAGAACAGAACAGTTTAGTAGCCATGTAGTATTCCTTCAAGTTATAGTCCACACCACACTCCACAGCCAAATCTAGACATCTTGCTATATCTTTTTCTTCTCCTCCTTCTGCTGGCTCTTCTTGTCTGCCATTTGAGCTATTGTTTCTTCTTCCTTATTTCTGATAATTTCTAACTCTTTAAGCAGCCCCTGAAACATCGTCAACATTGGACTTTTGCTTTCCTTGGGTGAACTTGTGGCTGTGCTTGTACTGCTGCTTGCCCTCTTGCGACTGTTAGAACTCATTGGGCTGTTCATAAAGCCTTCTCCATCTGCATCTTCACCTTCCTCATCAACACATTCTTCAGGATCAATACTCTCTTGTCCAGGGATGCAAGAGGTGGATCCATCAACTATCACCCCATGGAACATTTCAACTAGTTGGTCAACATAAGTAGGTACACCATACATGAACTTCTTACATTCTGGTTTTTTCTGAAACACACAAAGAAAGAGACAAAACAAGTAAGGAACAAATCAGCAGTCATGAAGACATAACCATTGGAACAAATATGTAATGGCAATGATCCAAGAGAAATTACCTCTTGTCTCTTTTTTCCAGAAGGCAAACGGTGCTATGATTGCTCCATCAGGTCGTCGCCCTAAAGCAGTATGATTGTTAAGCATTACCCAGAAATTGTACAGGGCCTTGCATTGAGCCATTCTGTTCTTCAGTTGTTTGGTTGAATGATTGAGGCCAGTCTTCATGAAAAATTACTAACGCATCTCCTTGTAACCTCTACCAGACATTGTCCCATTCAAGCAATTCCTTGCCCTTATTTGTTCAAGAGCTACATCACAGAATATGTGTGTGTTTTCTTCGGTCCAATTGGCCTTGTCAAATAGATTCTATTACACAAAACATAATTAGCTAGAAATGAAGCCTAATTATCTACTGGAGCATCTCAAAACATGTTGAAAAACAGCTACAAATGGAACATCTGAGCAAAATGAGATCATGGTTTTGGATCTTACCGACTGGGAACTATGTTCAGTTCCGTTGTCATCTTCATCCTCGATAGCGCCGAGATGCTCTGGAGGCGCGTAGCTGTGCCTGGCAAACGTCGATCCATGGCCTCCGCCACGACCTCCCCCACGGCATCCCCCACGGTCACTGCCGGATCCCGCTCCAATGGTCAGGGACTGAACGGCGGCCTACCCCACGTCCTCCTCCACGGCCGGATCTGCCACCAGGGCCACGAGGAGGTAGGCCTTGGTTGCCGGGAACCTGTTCCGCCTGCAGGAACTCCTGGTACGAGCCCAGGTGGGGGAAGCCCTCGGCCTGGGAGTTCAGATCCAGATCCTCCATCCGCGTCCGGGGAGCGGGGAGGCTGGGGGCTGCCAGCTGGGAGAAGGGGCCGAAGTCGTCTTCGTCGGCGGCGTCCGGGAAAGCAGGGAAGTTGGGAGCCGCCGATGAAGAACCCACCCGAGAGAAGAAGTCGCGGCGGTAGGCGTTCCCGTGGCTATCCATGGTAGATGCGGGGGTGGGGAGGAGATGGGTGGTGCCGCCGGCGTGGGGAGGAGCGGGGGCAAAGCCTCCGACGTGGGGACGAGAAGGGGCGGTGGGCACGGCGCGGGAGGAGCGGGGGCGGTGGCGGCGACGGCGGCGTGGGAAGCGAGCGACAGCGGCTCTAGAGGGCAGTGCGCTGACGGCGGGGAGCGAGTGGGGAAGGGAACGAGCGGATAGGTTTGGGGACGAGTGGGATGGGGAGTAACGAGGGGCAGGAGTGTCTCCAGAACACTTTAGTCCAGTTTAGTCACCCCTTATGGACCAGAGGACTAAACCCTTTAATCCAAATTTTAGTCCATGTATTTGATATTTTAGGAATTAAAAGTAGACATTTTAGTCCATATTTTAGTTTAGTCCATGAACCATACAGACCCGTAGATAACGGAATCCTAGCTCTGAAACCTCTCTTTCCAGCGTCGTGGTCCGTGGACGCATCCATGGTAGGAGTATACTACCCCTCTTTTTTCTCTCCCTCTGGAATATTGTGGTAAATGCCGCGGGATCAGCCGTGGTTGGTTGTCGTCTACTGACACGAGTGGCACGGAGTAGCAGCCAGGCACATGGAAGTTTTGGGCTCGCTACGCTACTCGCTGACGGATGGCGAGTGGTCTCGGAACCGTGTGCCGCGTCGCTGCCACCGAACGTGCAGCCGCTGTCACGTTGCATTGTTGGGTGGTTTTGGGAAGACGACCCGGGGTCGTCATGTACAAGGCTCCATCCCCAGTCCATGTGTTTTAGAGTTAAACTGAAGGATATGAGTGCATTTAAAAAAATGTCTTCATGAAAAAAATAAATCACATAAGTTTGTTGTCTAATATGAGAACAAAATAAAGTCAAATTCAGTAGTCCTGTAGACATCGGGGGAGAACAAGCTAGAGTTGGAGGAGTAATATGCTTATCAAGACCGGGAACATACTATTGTTATCAAGAGCTTCGGGTAAAAAATGAAATAGTGGATGATTGGTAAGATGATATCCAAGCAAGCACGCGTAAGCACAATGCAAGTGCATTTAGATTGCTCTCAATTCAGGTGGTATTCAAACTTTGCTCTACCGTGTCGTCACCAATCACCAAAAAAAAGAGAGGAGATTGTACAGAGCATGACCATATACTAGTCATGGATTTTTAGTGTTTTGGTGCCTTAAATGACAACCGATCAAATTGGACTAACTTGTATAGTGAGATGTGTTGCACATGTTAATTCATTTGGGTCCTAGGGATGCAAAGAAACAAGCCCGATCAACTCCTGTGAAAACGACGAAGAAAACAACAAAGATGCTTTGCCGGATTAGTTGATCAGAGAGCACGAGACCATCCAGTAAAGATCAGAGAGCAAGCTGAGGGAAGAAAAAATAAAAGACACGGCACACAATATCACTGAATCCTCCGATGATGAGAAAAAGATTGGCATGTTCGCTTAGCTGATAAGTCATAACTGAAAGTACTGTTGGTTGATTTGTTGTGAGAGAAAAATATTATTCGTTGGTTGAAAAAGTATGGTTTATAAGCCAAGCTAATAGGACATATATCATGGGATCATAAACACAAGGTTGGACCAGAGTTTAAAGCAGGGCGAGCAGAGTCACTGGTCGTCGGGGATGGCAAGGAGATGTCACCAGGAATCCAGGATACCAGATCAAACGTAGGGGTTAATTTAGGCGGGATTGTTGGACAGTGATTTTTGGTCATAAGACCGCATATTAATTATTGGAGATTTGATAGGTGGACTATTAAGATATGTTCTGTTGCTCAATTTCCTGTGGCTCTATGAAATGTAACCATGCACGGTAAACTGAATCGTTTGGTCATCCTGCCATGGCAGTGAACTTGGGTTGTCCATAGAATTAAGAGATAGAAAAAAGTAAAAAACACAAATACTACATTTCTAAGCACATAGCTTTTGCTATGTATTGAAAAGTCAAAATGATTAATAATTTAGAATAGAAGAGAGTAGCATAATTAATTAGCAGTATCCAGGAGACAGGAGTAGTCTTTTTTTTACACATCGTGTGATTTGTTCCGACCCTCTGACGGTCTTTTGGAATGATTGAAAAGCCCGACAAAATTGATTAATAATTTAGAATACAAGAGAGTTAGCTGGGTAATTAGCAGTATCCATAAGACAGGAGTAGCTTTTTTGTGCATAAATAGTATTTGTCTCTCGACCCTCTGACGGTCGAAAAGGAACGATTGTAACGCCCCGACAAAGTTGGATGGCACCGACCAAAGCATCTAGGCCCTGGCCACGCCAGCTGGCGGTTTCCGAAGGCTAACTCATGCAGTGGCATTCTTTTAATCTGGAGCCTGCTTTGCTTGTATCCAACTCTGCACCATGTTATACTAAAAAAAAAACTTGCACCATGTTAAGCCTTTTCTTCTCCCGGAGATCCTGCTGTTTGTGATCCCTGCCGCTGGAAGATTTTTCCAGCTGCTGCAGGTTTTTCGAGAACGTTGGAAATGCAGATGACTGACCTCAGAAGTCGTACTCCCTCGGTACCAGAAAGGACATAAATCTCGCTTTTTGGGTAAGATTAGTGTAAGTGTAAAATTACGTATTTGCCCCTCCTCTACGTTTTTAAAAATAGTTGTCTTCTGGAATGTTTTTCTCATGCATGGCAGTTTTTAGTCATGTAGGGATGTTTTTAATTAGTAGGTCCCATTGAAAAAAGGTGATCTCTGATGCTACAATTACATTCTTTATGAGACAAGGTTTAGAATGTAGGATTACATTCTTTTTAGGATAGAGGAAGTAGATTCTTGGAGAAGGATTGTCGTGTTGTAGCTGGAGTCGAGATTATGTATGCGTCCAATGTTAATAATACAGCCTATGATAGCTCTCCTACGATTACATTCTCTTTAGGACGGAGAAAGTGGTTTTTGGAGATGGATTTCTCTTTAGGACGGAGAAAGTAGGTTCTTGGAGAAGGATTGTCGTGTAGTAGCTGGAGTCGAGATTATGTATGCATCCAATGTTAATAATACAGCCTATGATAGCTCTCCCTGATCAAATTTTGTTTGATCGTGGTGGTGCCTGTTCGCTGTAGTTTGCTTCTACGAGAAGGGCTACTTGCCTAGTTTCCACAATGGTTTCCTTCTCAGATTCCAACGGCGGCCACAACATTGCTTAGCTCAAGCAATACTAACATCTCGACATTGCAAGAGCTATATATATTCTTCTTTAATAGGGCTTTCCCTCTGTGAACTGGAGCATCACACATGCAGCAAAAGATAACAAAAACTTGGCACAATTTTTTGTTCCATCAAAATTCAACAGGTGATATAAATCAAGGTTCACTTGCTGGTTCGTCGCTGGTTTTCTGGCGTTTGATTGAGGGTTCATTCTCAACTACCTCTTTGATCCCCTCCGGTTCTGGGGCTGTATTATCTGGCGCAGCAGCACCGTTTCCTTCTTTGTGGCAGTCACCACCACCATTCACAGCACCATTGATAGCCTCAGGGCCCAACAGAGAGACATGTTTGCTCGTGATCTTACGGCCTGCTCTGACCTTCGGACCCCAGTGCCGTTCTGGGTTTGGAAGAAATCGTTTAATCTTCTTTGCCTGAGCCTTGCTGAGGGCAGCAACTGCTCTTGAAAAATTTGCCTATGAAAACACACACACACAAAAGGAATAATAAATAAATATACCGTTTGCAGCCTACATAGAAAAAAAACATACAAGGAACATTGTAGGCCCAATTTATAGACAACATACTTCTAGCTTTGGTGATTTCGAAAGGATCGCCGTGCCAGGTGTGTCACGTGGTTGTTCCTTAATAGGATGATTCTTCACCTGTGTTGAGGTTTGCAACAATAAATTTTGTACGGTAATTTAGAAGTTCATATAGGCAAGACATCCACCAATTCATACTTGACACAAGATGCTGATTTTGACTTATGATAGGTGTAGGAACAATCCAAAACTTACCCAGCAGCGCATGATGTCCCAAATAACATCCCAAGGGGCATCAGATTTAACCCCAAGTGGGTTAACATGGGTGCTTGAGATCCGATACCCTGCATTTAGAACTGCAGACCGAAACATAACCAAAGATGGAGATGTGCACTTAACAGTGCCTGCTATGTTATGGAGACTGAAGAACAATGGAATGTCATGTAACTCCTGCATCAGAAGAATAACTCAAATGAAGTTGAGTGTTTAGAGTATACAAAATACTTTGTGAATGGCAAACAGTTAGTCACTCTAAAAAATAGTAATAGGTTGCCAAAAGACAAAAGTTAAGCTATAGAGTCAAACTTTCTGCAAAATCCTCCCAAAACTTAGCTGCAATCATTCAATTGTTATCATGCAAAAGGGGAATGAAAAAAAGGCCCATAAATGGTTTATTGTTGCACTTGGGTAACCTATCGACTAGATAACCAAATTCTTGACTGAATGGCCTATACATGTAGATTGTATATCTCCGTTCCCAATTATATAGCTTATACTTTGGTTTTGTCCTAAGTCTAACTTCTCTAACTGTGACCAATTTTATAGAAGAATACACCAATATCTACCGTGTCTAATTGGTTTATTAAACTCTCCATGGCATGTGTTTTGAATTTTTTATAGTGCATTTATTTGAACTTATAGATCTTAATATATTTGATAGGACTTGATGCCCTACCGGAGTTGCTGCGCAGGTTATAGGGGTGGAAGAGGGGAGGACGTGATCTGTGTTCTCGACGTCGGCGAGTGGCAGCGAGAGTGCGGCGGCTGCTGTTGCAGCCCTAGAGCTCACGTGAGGGAGAGAGGGTAGGGACGGCTGGCTCCCAAGGGAAGCCAGCAACTTAATTGTTGCTTCTGCTTAATTCCAATCATCCCAGATTACAAGTATTTATCCTTCCATATAGATGCTATAATTAAGGAACTATATCTATCTCTAAGAAAATACCAAATAAGCGATAAACTGGGCCTCTAAGCCCCTTAACAGAGCCGGCCCCCTAGCCACTATTGGGCCTGCGCCTGGCATAGGGGATGCTGGTCATAACAATATTTTTCTAACAGTCGGGTCAAAAACTCAAAGTTAGAAGTTTAACTTAAGACAAACCTAAAGTGAACTGTAATCATTGTTTCTTTGACTTGAACAGTAAACCATGATTAATAGGTCATCAAAACATTGACCTTTCTTTAAAACTCTTCCAAGCGTTATATTTTAATTAACCTATCTACTAATAAAGCATAAAAAATCTGAAGTTGGCGATACAAAATAATATAAGAAATTGATAGGCCTTTAACAGTCACGAGAATAACAATTTGAGACTCCTCAGGCATCAATACAAGGCATGAGTAGGGAAAGTCAAACTTAATTTTGAACAACAATTCGTCAAATTATATGAATGTTTAGTGCATACAAAGTTGCACCAATAAATTTGTATTCAAAGTGCCTTTAAGATTATATTGATTTTGTGGCAAGTGACAATAAATTGCAAGAGAAATTAAGGGTCAAAATCTACCATGGAACACTTTCCCCCCTACCAAAACACACCTAACATTTGACGGAGGAGGGAGGGGGTAGAGATACCTCTGACACAGTAGTTAGAACTGAAGTAATTTTATCATATGCAGGATATCTATCCTTCATTGACTTAACACCTGTCAAAGTAGAAACTACCCAGTCTTGATCATGAATAGGAGCTGACCATATTGGCCCACCTACATTAAATTTCTTTCCACAATCACTGCACTCTTGAGGAACAACAGGTCCAATAGCAGGTACATGCTTCACACCATTATTCTTCTGCTTATACAGGAAGAACAAACAAAAGGAAAGTCAAGAGAGTGCCAATATGTAACAGAGAGAATGTTGTATCAAAGAGTTAAATGGTATGCAAAACATACCTTCGGAACAGTCCTCGCAAGACATTGAAGATGGAAAGAGTCACAGCCAACACACTGATATATGTAAGAAAGTTTAAGAGGTGTATTCTTTATTTCACTTGCAGAACTGCACGTGGAATCCATATATGCCATATTAGAAAAAAAGTACTTTAACCAAATATGAAACAAACTAGGAACTAGGGGGGGGGTGACTCACGTGAATACTCGAACAAAAACACGGATATAAAAATCCATGAACACAGAGAGAACAGGCACAATATATCGCTTGTACCGATTTGCATGGCTCTGGTGTAAGAAAAGAATGGTTAAGGGCATGAGAAACTAAGATACCCAAAGAATGAAGCATGTAAAGTGCAGATTAACTTGATACATCATTTAGAAAAAGCCTGAAATGGAAGTAGTTTATAGTCCTCAGTATACATATTGAAATTTGTAAATCACCTATGTACCTCAATACTGGCAAGGAGGATTCTCAAAGCCATTTCGTGGCAATACTTGCCCTTGGTTGGGAATGAACCATATCTACAAAACATAATTGATTATTACACTATAAACTGCTCAGATAGAACATTCCTTTAACATGTAGTACTGACATACTTCGAGTAACAAACTTCTCCATTGGTACCACAAAGAACTGCCATATCAGTGGCAGTGCACATCAATAAACCACCATCAGCAACAGCCTGTACAGCTGAGTCGAGAAATATAGATGGTGATCCATAAGGGTCCAGATCAACCTAAGAACAATGAGAAGAAAATATGGTGTAAAACCATACTAAATATAATTTGCAATGTTTATAGAAACAACCATTATCATTTAATCCAATTATTTCATGGCATATTTACATGTGACTTTTCAGTCCATTGACTTATACCAAGAAAAAGATTCACCCTTGCATAATTAATACCAGAAACTTCAGATTCAGAGTCAGTAGCCAGAGACATAACCATATCAATGGTAACCCCTGCACCCTGACACACACAAGTGCATCATTCCAATCAAAAAGCTAATGTATACAGCAACATTGAATCCATTGTGTTTTCATCTTAGAAAGAATAACGGTAACAAAATGTCAGATTTAAAAATATTTTTCTCGAATGCCTTACCACATCAAATTCTTTTGGATGCATCAGCATGTGAATTCGAGCATCAACCAAGTAAGCTTCCACCTCACTAGTAGCGGAAGCGCCATTAAACTTTATGTTTCGCTTGCAATCTTCAACAGAAGCTGAAGAAACAAGGACCATAGTGAATTAGTGAAATCAAGCGCGGAGGCGTCAATAGCTAGGAACATAAGAAGCAAGTTTAGTAAACTGTAGCATTACCTTTATCATTGTCCAGAGCAACTACCTTTCCTAAGCCCTCAACTTCACGGGCATACCGGAGAGATCGCAACCCAGTAGCAGCCAAAGCCTGGGAAAAATAATTAGCAGTGCAATCTACAAACCTAGATGTTATGAGAAGAAAACTAGATATTTGAAAAAAGAAAAACTAGATATCAGTTAATGTTGATGTAGAAGTATACAGAAACTGCATTTCCATTAATGATGAAATGTGGGAAGGATACTCCCATCTAAACATCGTTCCGAAGGATTTAAATCTGTCTGTAACCAAGCCCAGATATTCAATGTCCCTTTCAGATGGATATTCAAAGTTGGATATATGATACGGATATACTTTATCATTATCCGATTATCCCTTGACCGAAACTATCCGTTAGTATCTGTATCCAACACACCTGACAATATTTGTGTCTGAATCTGAATCCGATAAAAAATAACTATTTGTATTCATATCCATATATATTTGTTCGTATTCGATCCGTTTTCAAACCTAATTTCCATATTATTATGAGAAATCTCACCTCAAGGACAAGTGGTGGCTTAAGCTCTCTGGTTACTTTCCATGAAGGTTTTGTTGCTTCTTTTGACAGATCATCAATTTGATCTTCAGCTTTATTTAGCTCCTTTTCACAAACAACATCCATTTCATCTTGCTGGCCAGTTGACGCATCCTCTCCATTTTGACTGGATGTTTCACTCTGTTTGTTTTTTTCATGTGATGTATTCCTCTTGTCCACCAACGCTTCATGTTCTTCCTTGCGCTTAGCAACAAAGGTCCTTAAAACAGCAATGGACATGTCTCTGTTGTGAACCTAATCAAAGCAGTAAACTTCAATTTTCAGAAATCTGTATGATGGTACAACTGGGAAATTATCCCTAACTTTGGAGCCATATGTGATTTTTCCTCAACGTATCAACTTTAAAACAATAACAAAATTGACTATCAACAAACAGTAACTACTTTCATTAGAGAAAAAGTATGTTTCATAGCTATGTACCTATTATGGAAAAAATCAGGGAGTTACATCACAATTTGAAACTGTTATCTTCTTCAATGATTATGGCCTCCTCCTACCGTAGAATGAGGTAAACTTGGAGTGGACAACTTGATCACTAATTGATTTCCACAGAAACTCAATTGACAGCAAGATAAACAAGACATACACAAAACACAATTCGCTGTTTGGTCTCTGCGTAATAGCAAGCTGAACTGCTACCAGTCTGTGCGAAGCACTAGTAAATGCAAATGAATTGTGATAACAAAATAGTTTTAACAGGCACAAAGCACCCTAATGGTAGAATTCAATAAACATGAAGCCTACAGACCCAATCCCACACCAGTCACCACCCAGCACTCAATTTGGAATCCTACAGAATACCGCAAAGCAGAAGTTCAATAAGCGGTAAAGACTGATCAACTGGAAGTCAACAGGTCGCTACAGTAATTGCTACAAGCAAATTCAAGAGTGCTGAGTGTAAGCTAACGCAGATAAGGAACCGATAGAACAGCGCCCCCATTTAAAAAAAGAAGAAGATAAAAACACGAAAAATGGAAGACGAACAGACCTGCACGGGATTGTAAAAGACGGCGTTCCTCTTGTGCAAGAGGATCTCTGCCTCTCCCTCCTTCCTGATCTCGTAGTCCTTGAGCTTGTCATCCACTTGCGCCATTTCTCCAAAACCAAAACCCAGGGGCGAATCTAGTAGAGGGACATGGGTGTACACATGTAACCCAATGATTTTCGCAAAAAAGTTAGAAGTTACTAGGCATCGAATAACCAAATAGCTTGAGGTAGTTTGTGAACTCGGTTTCGCACAGCAAACAGGGAAGAGAAGGGGATGGGAATACCTGCTGGGCGCTCTTCACCGGCGAAGGCCTCGGCACCTGGTGTAGGGCGGCGGCGGTGGCGGGAGCCCAACTAGAACCCGATTTGGGAAGGGGGAGGTTCGATCTGGGCTGAGACGCTGTCGGCGGTGCGAGCCAGGCGGCGGCGGCGTACGGACGAGAGGGATGCGAGGAGGAGGGGAACGAGGCAAGTTTGAATGGCTGGGCAAATATACGTGGAATTTTATATTAGGGTATTATTTGGCTCGGCACCATTATAATTATCAAAGTTTAGCGAATTTAATCATTATTATTTGTCTATTTTGAAGCATATCATTACAATTCTTCCTCTTTCACAAGAATACCATAGAATATACACGGGATGATTCGGGCCCACCTACCGAGTTGAAGATGGTACGTGACATCAAACTTGAGATTGGGAACGTGAGGACTGAAATCAAAGACTTGAAAGAGGAGCTTAGGAAGGGAAAGAATCCGATTGTCAGATTGTTTTTTAGATAATGGATTTTTATTGATAATTGTCGGATTGTTAAGGAGTAACTTTTTAGCTTTTGTCAGGTAAGTCTTTGATTTAAGGGTCTCCCTCTCAACTTGTGAAAACACGTGAGATTCCAATAGCTTGAGAGAATGCGAATTCTTCAAGTGGTCCAACCTTTTGATAGAGAGGTAGTTGCTGCTTCTGTAAGCATATACAACAATATCTTGGTGTTTGGTTGTTTAAATTTTATCGCATGTAGTAATCTCTACATTGTAGTTAAGGTCTCATGTTTTAATAGAGGTACGAAGGATAAGAATATTTTAGAACAACCCAACACCAAGACACTTTATATGTTTATGTCTTAGGTTATATTGATCTAATACAGGATAAGACTAATGCAAGTAATAAGATAAAAATGACATGAAAACTCCATGCGAACATGGAGAATGGGAATAACAAGTACCAATCAGCATGTCACATTGGGGCTGCTCTTAAGTTCACAGGGACATCGGTGCCCATCTGAAGAGGGCTACAAGTTTGAATCTGAATCCTGAAGAGAGCAGTGAGATGCCTGCTGAGATCCACGATGCCTAGGGTGGCATAGAGGAAGTTGATCCTGAGGAAGTGAGGAATCTCATGGTCACTATGAAACGTATCAGCAACATACGGGTATCTTTCGTAGCCATATCAGCCAGTGTCTCCTTGAAAACTTCGTCCACTGAAATTTGGCTTATGCTGATGTTTATGCTGATTTTTTGTGTGAGAAAAACATTGTTCGTTCGCTGAAAAATATTGCTGAAGTAGTTCGAGCGAACAGGGCAAAAAAAAAAACATGGATTTGAGACTGCACAACCACCATTCTGTTGCCGGCGGATTGCCTCCGGCAACGGACAACCGCACCGTGCCAGTTTCTTGTATTGCCCTACGTACAGGCTGGTGCCAAGCAGCGCCGGCAAGCCATCGGCAGCACTGCATCAGCAAGGGCTGGGGGCAGCTGTAGGCATTCACACAGTTTTGCCGGCAACCATCATGCATTGCATCACACAAACAAATTCTACTTACAAGTTACAAGCAAGACTACTTGTGCTACTGCAGCGTTCTTTGTAAGTACACGCTGCTGCATCGATCTACAATACGTACGGGCACAACCACCATCTTTACAATCACAAACCCAAGAATTACAGCTCAACTGTAGATTCACCGTGTAAAATGGAATGTGGAATCGAATAACCTGACTGACTGACCAAATCCCGCACAGCAAAACAAACAAACAAACGGATGAACACTCAGTAGCCACCACACTTCAGCTCAGGACATCAGCATATGGCCTTCTTGCCTTCCCCGTCCGGTGGCGCGGTGGCGGCCTATCGTGTCTCGGCGCCGAGGGACCCGTCCTTCTGGAGCTTCAGGCTCAGGTTACTGAACCGTTGCCTCGAGTACTGCCGAGAGGCCTTCCTCCAGTCAGTGCCGGCCTTCATCATCGCCGCGAACTCATCGTAGCTTATCTTCCCGTCCTGACAAAATAGCACAGATAACACCTTGTTGTTAGGTTGACCGGACAGGTTGGTCTTGTGACCAGAGGGGATTTGAACTGATCAAACTTGCTACTTTTAATTACTCCAAAGTCCCAATCACATTGCATCACAAGCCCTTATGGCCTTATCCTATCCTTCTCACTCTCTCGGTCCCAGATGCTGTCTATTTTAAAACAATACAGATTTATTACAGTCAACTATCCTTTAGTCAAATAAATTAAGTCCATGCCTGGCAACTAGCAGCACCTGAACCTTGACCTTGTCATGCGACCATGGACAAGGCACACTTCTTTTAATCCAGAAACTACAACATCCCAATAGGTTTTCTCCGCTACTCCCATACTAGGTACGCCGTTGATGATATGAGTTCATTTATTAGCATTTTTAAAAACCAAATGCACTAGCATTTTACCAGCATAAGTGTACTACAAACTAAAATTTGTGGCCTATGGAGGTTGATTTTGCTGACCTTATCTATGTCCACATCTCGGATGATGCCATCAATAATGTCTTCATCATTTCCCTCCAGTTCATCAGATAGCGCCTCTCTAAGCTCTTCGATTTCTATATACCCACTCTTATTCCGGTCAAAGTATGTGAAGGCCTTTTCGATGTGTTCATCGTTGCCTATTTTTCTCACATGAACAGACACAGTGACGAATTCCCCATAATCTAGGGTCCCATTTTTATCAACATCAGCCTGCAAAGCATTGAAAGTAGCATTTAACAAGTTTGTCCAAGATAATTTAGCACTACTGTAGAGTATCTTTGCTTAGTAACTCACAGCATCCATCAATATCTGAAGATCTGAATCAGGCATTTGGTTTCCCAGTTTACGAAGGCCGGCCTTGAATTCCTCGAATGTTAGCTTGCCATTCTTGTTCACATCCATCTTATCAAACATTTGCTTTATGTCAGCTACTTCCTCCACAGACAGAAGCTCAGCAATCACCTGCAGATGGTCAAGCATAAAATTAAATCACTTTAACTAGATGATCCCCAATATTCCATTCTTCTTGTATTTTGCATGCACCTTCTATGGGTCTGTTTGGATCCACCAACTAAACTTTAGCTGGCTAAATTTAGCTGCTAGGATCCAAACGGCCCAGCTAAAGACTAGCTAAAGTTTAGCTGAGTTAAGCTGCTTCAACCTAGCTAAACTCAGCTAAAATTTAGCTGAGTCTATTAGCTGGAGAATCCAAGCACCCTAGCTAAAGTTTAGCTTTGAAATTTTAGCTGGCTAAACTTTAGTTGGGTGGATCCAAACAGGGCCTATGTCCAATAAGGAAGGTGATTATGTTTGCTACCAACATGCAGTAAATCTTACCCTTAGTGCTTTCTTCTTTAACTTGTTCATTGCAGCAAATTGCTGCAATCTTGCTCGGACAGTATCACCAAGAGAAATGTCTGGCGTCTTTTTAGAGTCATGTAACCATGGATGCTCTGCTCATTCAACTAACATTGTCAGAAAAGCAATGATAAAATAATTTGATACATACAATTAGTAAAATCATAATAATTCAAGCATCGTATTTCAATAAAATACACTATAACAGAATGATAGTAGAAAGATAGAAGTACAGGACATTAACTCTTTCGAATAGCAAATCACACTTGCATAGTCATATAAATCTTCTGTGTATTGTATAACTCCCAGAATGTGAATTTTAAGGAAAGTCTGGTTCATGACAGCCAATACATAATTCTGGCACATCACCAATTAAGATTCAAATTTTCCCTAACAAATAACAATCATAGAGTGGTAGCATCCTAAGCCCGTTGTGCAATAGGAATAGGTGATAGTGAGGCTTACCAAGTACTTGTGCTGCAGTAAACCGTGTTAATGGATTTGGGTCCAGCATCCGCCTGACAAGATCTTTAGCAGGCTCAGATACTCTGGGCCATGGTTCTCTTTTGAAATCTACAACAGATCGTATAATTGCCTGTGCTACTCCCTGTTCAGTTTCTGCAGAGCATCACGAATATGGGATTATGATCGTGTTCTAACTTATTATTAACATGCATGCATTCCAGACCAGAGTTTGAAAGTACCTGCCCAAAATGGTGGTACACCACAAAGAAGTATGTAAAGTATCACTCCAGCACTCCAGACATCAACTTCAGGGCCATAGTTTCGCTTTAGAACCTCTGGAGCCATGTAGTATGGACTGCCTACGATTTCAGTAAATCGCTCACCTACATACGAAGGCAATAATTATTCAGATTTTCTGTAAAGATATGCATATGTCCAATAAACTGCATCAACGAAGTTAGCTCTATGTTGCTGGGAAATGAAGCACATTACAATGGGAATTACATATAGACACTCCACTTTCTTATTGTCCATAGGCACAACAAATGCCATGTGTTGAAAAAATAATTGATTGCTCATTAGTTGTCCTTAAAAACTTACCAGGCCTGAAGAACACAGACAGCCCAAAATCAATTGTTTTCAGGGGGGAACTCTCCTTCTTGTTTGCATATAAAAAGTTCTCTGGTTTAAGGTCCCGGTGAATGACACCATGCCTGTGGCACATCTGCACAGTAAAGAACAAGGATTCATGTCACGACACATGGAATGATGCAAAAATCAAGTTATATACTGTTTATGTTAAAAAAAATAGTGCAAGGAACAAAGTAGAAAAAAATTATATTGCTTTGCCAATGTGACTCCTACTACAAATATTTGCAGTAAAATGTATTTGACTAAAATAGCTCCTCAAAGATAATTTATTACAATCTGATTAATCATTTATTATGATTAATCAGATTGTAATAAATTATAATCTGATTATCATTTATTAAGCCTACC